GAGCACCTTCTAGCTGCATGGTGGCTATACCTTCCTGCCCCAACCCCCATCCAACACATCCCTGCACCTGTGTTCAATAACTGAAGAGCAAGCCTGAGTGCTCCCTACCTCCTCCACCCCCTCTCCCTCCCCCTCTTTCCTCCTCCCAGCCTCCTGCTCCAGCTCTGCATGGGAAGAGGCAGGGAGACGATGGAGGGCAAGCACAGCATGTTCCCCAAGCTCAAAGACTCCACATAACTTCTTTATGCACTGGCATTGTATGACCTTCATTTTCTCTGAGTGTGTTTCTGCAGATACTGAGTTGTTGTTGTTGTTAACTAAAAAGGCAATGCTGTTGAAGCCGAGGTCTATGATACGAAACTGAGGATGAGCGTATATCCATGTGGCCTCAGCCGTAGGAGGCCAAGGTAGGTCAAAGAGAAATGGGTCATTCGTGGGTGTGCATTCACAGCCTGGCAGAATAAACGCTTGATGCCACTGGACAATGCAGTTGGCACGGTGCTAACAAACAGTTTTAGCAAGGGCCTTTCTATACCACCTGAGTTATCTAGATTTGGCCTGTAGATTCGGTCCTATGTGACAGAGAACGAAAGGTGTATTAAGCGTTACTTGCAGATTTTGAAAAAGTAATCCTAAGGTCTCTAGTTTGCTAGAAGGCACTCCATTTCCAGAGTTTAGTTTTGGTTAGTTTGCAGGTAGGTTCTCAAATTTTTTTGCTCTGGACGGGCCTCTGAACCACAATCGACCTATCTATGCCAACCAAAAGCTGGGCTCACAGGCATGTGCTACCATGCCCATCTCTGTTTATTTTTGAGACAGGAGTCTCATTAGATAGCCCAACTTGGCCTCCAACTCAAGATCTTTCTGTCTCAGCCTCCTCAGTGTGAGGATAGGGCCTGAGATAATCTATCTTCCTTTCTTTCTTTCTTTTCTTTCTTTCTTTCTTTTGGTTATGGGGCTTGAACTGGCACCTGGGCCTTGTCCCTAAGCTCTTTTGCTCAAGGCTAGCACTCTAGCACTTTAAGCCACAGCTCCACTTCCGGTTTTTGAGTGGTTAATTGGAGATAATAGTCTCTCAGGAATTGTTCTGCCTCGGGCTGTCTTTAAACCACCCTACTTAGATTTTAGCCTCCTGAGTAGCTAGGATTACAGACATGAGTCACCAGCGCCTGGCTGCATTAACAGCATTAGAGCACTGAGTCTTAGAGAAACTTAGTTGTTAGGAAATCTAGCAAGATAAAGTCTATAGCCTAAGGGATTAGCTCCAAGATCTTAAAGCACTCTGAAAGGTTGTTTTAACTCTGGGAGTTTTGTCAATTAACAGATCAGATCAGCCTTAAGCAGGGAAGAAGAGAGCAAAACCTTCAGCTGAGGAAGACTCAAGAAATAGGAAACCACCCTGTTTTCCTCACTATTCAGGAGGCTGAAATAAGATGTTGGAGATCAAAAGCAGCCTGGGCAGGAAAAGTCCATGAGACTCATCTCTTCTGAACCAGCAAAATGCTCGAAGTGAAGTTGTGGCTCAAGTGGTAGAGCATCAATCAGTTGTGAATAAAAAAAACTGGGTGAGTTCACGAGACACTGAATTCAAGTCCCAGCACCAATGCAGACACACATGTGTTCACATACATGCATGCACACACATGCACACATGCGCACACAAATGTGTATACCAGAACAAAATACCAGGAAGTTGAAAAGTTTTGTCAGAGGGGAAGAGGGAGGTCAAGGAGAATGAAGGCAAATGGAGAGAGGAAGGGTGAGCACAGGCAGTCACGAGATTCAAATGTCCACTTATGAAAATGGAAGCAGGGGCTGGGAAGGTGGCTCAGTGGTAGAGCGCTTGCCTTGCATGCCTGACGCCCTGGGTTCGATTCCTCAGCACCACATAAGCAAAAAAGAAAAAAGCCGGAAGTGGTGCTGTGGCTCAAGTGGTAGAGCACTAGCCTTGAGGTGAAGAGCTGAGGGACAGCACCCAGGCCCAGAGTTCAGGCCCCACGACCGGATCCCCCCCCCAAAAAAAAAAAAACAAGAAAATGGAAGCAGGTAAGTGGAGGGGATAGGTGAGGTTTGGGGAGATGGTGGAAAATAACAGAAAAGGTGACATTGATTGAGATGACACTGGCTCATAAACTGACCTGTGAACGGAAGCCACTCTGTACAAGGAAGAATATACTTGCCAAATGGCTGGCTCACTAACAACCAGAATAGCACCATTCAGAGAAGAGAGGGATGACCTCTAACATGCTCAAGGACAATGGCCTGGGGGCTGGACGGTAATTCGAGTTTTCCTTCACAGACTAAGTGATCAATTACTCTGTGTTTTCATTGTAATCCAGCCTGGAAATGTAACATAGTGGGAGAATTTAGGAGTTATTTAAGAGCACCTTTTTATAGTTTGGGTTTTATGTGTGTAAGTGTGGGAAGGAATGGAAATCTTGAGGAAAAAAAGCACATGAAAGACTTTTTTTTTTTTGAACCATTTAGAGCCCCAGAGTCACTTTGTTAGGATCAAAACACACAAAAATATCTGCTGTGCATAACTTGGCTTGTGTGTGGTAAGATGACATTTGAGATAAGGGTATTAGAGTTTGTTCAGACAATAACACATTTATAAAGTATTTATTTTTAAATACTGTTTTAAATGGAACTGCGAACTTCCAAAGAAAGGAATTTTTACTAATAGATGTGGATGTTCCGAAGTACCCTTAGGAAAAAAAAAGAAATAGTCACATGTAGAAAAGCAAAGATTTTTTTTTTTTTAAATCTCTGAACTTGGATGCAAATAAAGATAATAAAAGAGTTCTTTAAGAAATTAGGACAGCCTGGCGCCGATGGCTCATGCCTAGCTACTCAGGAGGCCGAGATCTGAGGATTGCAAGTTCAAAGCCAGCCCCAGGCAGAAAAGTCCCTGTGAGAAGTTTACCTCCTTTTAACCACTCAAAAACCAGAAGGGTGCTGTGGCTCAAGTGGTCGAGCGCTAGCCTTGAGCACAATGAGGCTCAGGGACAGTGCCCAGGCCTGAGTTCAAGCGCTCCACAACTGACAAAAAAAGAAGGAATGAAAAAGGAAGAGGGGGGAAGGAGGGAGGGAGGGAGGGAAAGAAAGAAAGAAAGAGAGAGAGAGAGAAAGCAAGCAGGCAGGCTAAAATCCCAACGTGTGTCATTTTTAAAAAGGTGGTCCGGCAGCCTCAGTTTCCCCAGTACTTCAGCCCAAGTCTGCATCCTCTGACAGCGCTTAGCATCTTCTCAAACATAATCTGTAACCCAAGATTTTGGGGGTTGCTGGTAATTCTTTTTTAAAATCAACAGTAGCATTTATTTTTAATGTCCTTCTTTATTCAGTCAGAGTCCCTGACTTGAAGTCTGCTTTGTCTGATTCTAATATCGTCACTAGAGATAACCCAGCTTTCTAGTGATTGATGTTTGTTTGGTAGATGTTTCTTCATCTTACACACACACACACACACACACACACACACACACACACACACTTGTCTGGCTATGTGTCCAGGGTCTGCTGTCTCAAACTCCTAGGCTCAAGGGATCCTCTTACTTCAGTCTCCCAAGTGCTAGGACCACCTAGTATTTCATTTCTTTTTTTCTTTTTCTTTTTTTGTCGGTCGTGGGGCTTGAACTCTGGGTCTGGGCGCTGTCCCTCTGCTCTTCAGCTCAAGGCGAGCGCTGTACCCCTTGAGCCACAGCACCACTTCCGGTTTTCTAGTGGTTTATTGGAGATAAGAGTCTCACAGATTTTCCTGCCCTTTGAACCGTGATCCTCAGATCTCAGCCTCCTGAGTAACTAGGATGACACTGGCGCCTGGCTTTGTATTTCATTTCTTGATTTAGAGCTTTCTTACAAGGAAAAAAAAAAATTGAATTGAAAAGGCAAAAGTCTCAGGCAGAGGCACCATGCTGGGAAGGTCAGAGCTGCTATGATGTGCCAGGCAGGACTGTCATGCTGGGAAGGGCAAAGCTGCCATGTTGGGAAGGGCAGAGTCGCCATGATGGGAAGGTCAGGGCTATGGCTTCCTTCTAGTCTTCTTGGTATCCACCTAACATCAAGAGGGCCATGCTCCTCCATGGAAGAGACCAGGAGATTCCACAAGGCTGGGGAGGGAGGCAGACCTGGCGCAATCTGGGAGGTTGGCAGCATGTGCCTTCTTCCCACAGGAAAAAGCAGGCCCAGAGGCCTGTATCAGAAGAGCTAAGATGCCAGGACAAACATGACTCTCCCTGGACATGCCCTTTCTGTACTGCCAAACAAGAGCTTTGCAAACACTGCGTCCTAAGCCCACCGCTCCTTTCTCAGTAGATGCAAACTCGGTTGTTTTACCATTGGACATGAATCCCAGAGGTCAAGCATAACACCAGTTAGTTGAAATGTTTCCCTTGATGAGGTTTTGGTTTTTGTTTTCCTTAATACTCCCTTATTTCACTTAAGTAGAAATACTCCTCATGCTGCAGAAGCAGGAAGTTATAGTCAGACCATTGGAAACAGGCTTGGCAAACACCGGCAGGAGGAGAGGCAGGCCCGCTCTAGAATCAGCCTCCAGCTCTGCACAGCTCCAGGGCTGGGCCTGCTCTTGAGAGCATGCCCTGTGCTGTGCCTCAGCCCCCCTCTCCTGCCCAGCCTCTCCTTTCCTCCCTGACTTCCTCCTTTCTTCCTCCCACTTATTTGAATTGAGGCATGACAGACATACAGTGCACAAAGAATGTCACTGTCTGACTGGCTGGTGCTCTACCACTTGAACCACAGATCTATTTCCTGGTTGTTGTTTTTTTTTTTTTACTGGTTCATTGCAGCTATCCAAGCTGGCTTTGAACCATGATCCTCAGAACTCAGCCTCCTGAGTAGCTGAGATGACAGGTATGAGCTACTGGTGCCTGACTTGGAAACTTTTCTACTCCTAACCATAGTGAATCAAAGATCTTAGAATTGACCCGTGAGCCGGCAGCCCCTCTATCCAAGAAGGAAAAGCTCTGTGGGCCTCGACTTACCTTTCTGTGTTCAGTGGAGGGCTGTGGGCAGACGAGCTGGCATGCAAGTAGCAGGAGAGCACCCAGGGCACTGGGAAGGAGAAACAGAGGCAGACAGGCTGTGAGTATACTTGCAGAGAGGCCTCATGGCCTGGGGGAGGGGGGTTAGCCTGGCTAGGGCAGGGATCAAATTCAGGCTTCACCACCTCAGTCCCTCTAAACCTGACACAACCACAGATGCTGACTCTCAGCATGGGCCTCAGCCTGGTGGACCTCAGAGGGGGGAAAGCAAGCTTCTGAACCCTCCTGAGGGATCCCCACACCACCCTGCCTGTCCCTGACCCTCCGAGGTCTCGTGTGGCCATGGGTAGAACCGCTGCTGCCCAGTGGAGTCTTCTGTGACGGTGGTGCTGTTGTGTCCAGTGCGCAGAAACACAGAGCTGTATGGGTCACCACACGGGCTCCACCGTGACGTACTGAGTCCCCAGTTCAGCCCAACAGTTCTTAACTAACACAGGAAGCATGCACCAATAAAACCCAAACACACAACCTGCACACAAGTTGCTTTTGAACTTTTGGGGAAGGGGTCGGGGGAGGGCTTGAACTCAGGGCTTTGAACTTGCTAAACAGGTACTCTAGCCCAGCACCATGCCTCCAGCTCTTTTCTGATCTATCTATCTATCTATCCATCCATCCATCCATCCATCCATCCATCTATCTATCTATCTATCTATCTAGTTAGTAGATAGAAGAGTCTTGCCATTCCCCAGGGTCAGCCTCTAGCAACGTTCCTCCTACTTATGCCTCTCTAGTAGCTAGCCACTCCGCCCAGTTCAGTGTTGGCTGGAACTTCCTAACACCCGAAAGGGAGACTTTTGCCTCACTCCCAGGTTGGGGGATCTTGAGCAAATCACCTTCTCACCCCCTGCCTCTGCTTCCCAACCTACAATGTAGACTTACACCCTGCCCTCCTGCCTCCCGGATGGGTGCTAACACCTGGGCTCCCGGATGGGTGCTAACACCTGGGAAATGATGTACAAAACCTGAGCCATTTGTATCACAGTGGCACTTGGTGCTCACCGAAAAAGAAATGAGGTCGGCGTGGTTTCCTTAAAACAAACAGCAGCAGCATAAGCCTGCTGCACCTCAGCCCCTCACAGCCCTCACGGGGAGTGGGGGACAGTAATTCCAGCACTCCCTCCCCCACCGAGTGCTGGGGCTCAGGCTGCCAGGGAGGAACAGATCTTCTCAGAAGGAAGTTAATAAATGAATTAATAAATGATGCATCACCACCCCCAGGGCCTCTGGAATTCCAAGCCAAGTGGAACTGGTAGAAATAAAGTAACTTTGGAAGATTTCAAATAATCTATAAGAGGAATTTATACCGGGTATTGGTGGCTTACATCTGTCACCCTAGCTACTCAGGAGGCTGAGATCTGAGGATCACAGTTCAATGCCAGCTTGGGCAGGAAAGTCCATGAGACTCTTATCTCCACTTAGCCACCCAAAAAGCCAGAAGTGGAGGTGTGGCTTAAGTGGTAGAGCTGACTTTAACACAGAGAGAGAGAGAGAGAGAGAAGAAAAAAACAAGTTCATTTCTTTAGTTAATACAACACAAGGCTATTCTGATCGCTGATCTGGTGACACCATTCTCTCCAGAGAATGGTTTTGCATTAGAGCAAAACCCCTCCCAAATACATCCAGGAGATAACAGACTTTCGCATTTTTAGCTGGGTCAGCTTGACATCACTGGGACGGAGTCAGATCACAACCCACAATAACCAAAATTCAATGAGATTTGAGGGCTCCTGTTGACCTCTCGCTCATAGGCAGCATTTCACCTTAGCTTCTCAGCCAGGGTGCAGGTGGGGAAACTGAGGCACGGGGACACGAGCTCATGCACAGAAGAGCACACACATCCACTCAAGTAGCAAAGCCTGGTTTTGAAGGCCAGCACCAGAGCCTTGGCCCCCAACTGCTGAACTCTGGGCCTCTTTCTGCCTCTTACAAACCAGACACGAGTCATTTTCCTATCCCCATGTCTTTCTCCATCTCAGTCCTATTTTCTGCCATGGCTTGCAAGAACCTTCGAACATAAAATAATGCCTTCTTTACCCAGCCTCACTAAAGGACCCCGGGAATTTCAAAATAAATGAAGGTAACCAGAGAAATTACAAATTTTTACCTTTTTCCTTTAAAATAGCCATGTTCACACACACACACACACACACACACTTCTCTGGCTGGAGGATAGCACTGTCTGACACCATGTCCTGTGCTGCAAAAGCTGCTGGTCTTGGAACCCAGCTGTCTCCATTACACAGTGAATCTCAGACTTTAGGGCAGGGTTTTCAATTCAGGAAGGGCCTTAGGATCTAGCTTGGTCCCTCCTCTCAAGGCTGATTCTCTACCATGTGAGCCACATCCTCAGATCTCAGTCTCCTAAGGAGCTGGGGTTACAGGCATGAGTCACCGAGGGCAAGGTTTCCTGAGAAAATGGCTTCTGATACACTTTTAGTTAGTAGAACCATCCTCACAATCTGGTCCATTCTGGGGACTCGTAAGGACTGAGAGAATAAAAGGATAGAAGAATAGAAGGAGTGAAGGGAAGAGAGAGAAAGAGAAAGGGAAGGAAGGAGGATGGGGGGAGGGAGGGAGGGAGAGAAATACTCACTAAAGAGACGCTGTGACCAGAACATGTTAAGTGTTTCCCAGAATTCCCTACTGGAAACATAGATGAGCTGGAAAAAGGAAAGGCAGTCCTCATGGGAAGATTTCTACAAATTGGAGCCATCGGTTCTGACCCCCAGAGAAGGCGGGGAGGGCCCATCTGAAGCACATAAATCCATCTGGGCTGTCAGGAGGGGTAGTTGGCAGTGATCGCCAGCTCATCCTGGAATGGCATGTACCAGCACATCCACCATCAAATTCTGAGTGCTGCGGACGGGGGCCTGGTACGGGGCTGTGCCAGGCAGAGAGAAAAATCAATGCTGTCTGCGCGCCTGTCCTCATTTTATAGGTGAGCGTTTGCCAGGGAAGCCATCCAGAAAATAGTTTCCTTTCCTCCTCACCTCTGCCCCCCACCCCACCCCAGAGTCTCTTCCCAAGCCAGAGGAGCTGTGTTCAAATCCTGCAGCGCACACTCCCACATCTGTGGGCGCCAACGCGCAAACCTTGTTAGTGACGTGAAATGCCCAGCTCTCTTTGCTCGTTTCCAGGGCACAGAACGAAAGGCACCTCACCACTTACTCAAAAATGAAGTTGAGTGTTCTGGGAAGACTCGGTAAAGGCAGGAAGCCAAGAGTAAGTTGTGGGGTGGGGGGGGACCCTGCTGGGAAATTAGGTGTTGTTGAGACAACTGTGAGTGTTTAGGGGCAAAAATAATAAAAAAAAAAAATACAAAAATCTAGAATGATCTGTGCTCAGACTACCTTGTAATTCCCCACTCCAGGGGACCCCAAGTAGAAACCGTCAGGTCATGATGGTGGGTGTGGTTTGAACCCCACCTAGTCCTGGTTTCTGGCTCCAAGAAGAGGGCCTGGCCGAGCACCAAATGCTTTATTTAAGTTCCATCTCAGTACTGACAGGGTGCAGCCGCCCAGCGGTGGTCACTGACCTCTGACCTCTGCCCCCCGGCCATCTAGGTCAGCAAAGGGAAAATGTCTGCCCCGTTTCCTACACATAAAAGGCAACATTAAAAGCCAGATGTGGCGGCGCAGACCTGTCATCCCAGCTATTCAGGAGGCTGAGATGTGAGGATCATCGTTCAAAGCCAGCCTGGGGAAGGAAAGTCCCGTGAGACACGCATCACGAATGAACCACCAGAAAAGCCCGAAGTGGCACTGTGGCTCAAGTGGTAGAGCATAGGCCTGGAGCACAAAAGCTTAGAGAAAGTGCCTGGCCACTGAGTTCAAGCCCCAGGACTGGTACACACACACACACACACACACACACACACACACACACACACACACAAGTAAGTTTCAATTCATGCACTCAGTGTGCAACAGAAAATTTCCAGCATCAGCTAGGAAGCGGCGCTGCTGCTCTGGGAGCTGTAGACTGTGTTAATGATGCAGGGAAGTTCAGTATGGAAGCCACCCGGGCCCCACCTCCTCCCTCTCTTTCTTCCCTCCTCCTCTCCCTCCCCATCTTGTGCTCACTGGCAAAGGGACACTGACCACAGGCCCTTCCTCCCCAGGGGACAACTGGTCCCCTGTTTTCAGTAATGGCACTCAGGTGTTACTGCCCGGAAGTTCTCACACATGCAAAATCATTTTCTCATCCTTTCTCTCCTCCCTGTGGTCTTTGGGGTCTTTTTCCAAGGCTGAGAGCAATCATCCTCCCTCCCTCCCTCCCTCCCTCCCTCTCTCTCTCTCTCTCTCTCTCTCTCTCTCTCTCTCTCTCTCTCATTTCCTCATTCTCTTGTGGTTGCATTTGCAAGTGGAATGGCTGGCAGGCATTAAGCTAATAATATTTTACAGAGGAATACATCGAGGAAAGGGAAAACCTTCAGTTTTCAAAGACTGGAAGCAGACACTTGACCTAAGGCCATCGACTTAAAACGATCCAGAAGTCTCCTTCCTGAGACCTATAAACATCAGCACCTCGCCCTGTAATCGCGCTAATTATGTCTGTATTTCTTCAAAAACTACCGTTCAAAATAAAAATTGCCAAATCAATTTACTTCCCTGCCGCTCTCACCGGCTGTTTGGCTCTCAGGACTTGGGTTTCTGTCTGTGTTTCCTTGGAAACGTAAACTACATCTGCCCCATGCAAATCTCCAAAACTCAGTGGTAAATAAACATCATGGGGCAGTGAGTGGCTCCGGGCGTGCGGGGCAGTGAGGGCCATGGTCAGCCACTGCTCTGTCTCTTCTGGTCAGTCAGTCACTGGACGCAAACACACCACTGAGTCCATGAAAGAAGGGGATGATCTGGAGCAAGTCTTGAACAAACACAAGCACTTCAGTTCCCTTTAGCTCTGCATATGATCTATCTGCCTTGCACGAGATGACAAACATGCTTTAGTTTACACTTTGGTCAGTTTCAATGTGTGTGTGTGTGTGTGTGTATGTGTGTGTGTTAGTACTAGGATTTGAATTCAGAACCTGGACGCTGTTCCTTAGCTTCTTTGCTCAATGCTGGCACTCTACCATTTGAGCTGCTTCTCCATTTCCAGCTCTGTGTGTGTGTGTGTGTGTGTGTGTGTGTGTGTGTGTGTGTGTGTGTGTGATTAATTGGAGGTAAGAGTCTCATGACATTTTCTGCCCAGGCTGGTTTTAAACTGTGATCCTCAGATCTCAGTCTCCTGTGTAGCTAGGATTATAGGCATGAGCCACTGTGCCCGGCTGGAAACTGGTTTTCTTTTCTTTTCTCTGTGGCTAGACAAAACCTGGGGAGGGATTTTTAAATGTCCTCTGTGCATGGAGCTGTGAACCCCTCTCTCCTGCCCCCCAACATCCAACATTCTCTTTCCCTCTTAGGATTTTTCCTGATGGCTTACTTACTGCAACCTGGATTCTCTATCAGAAAGGAGGAGTAGGAGAGAGAGAGAGAGAGAGAGAGAGAGAGAGTCTGCAGCTTTTCCAATTAATCTCCATGTATCTAGTCACTCTGATGATTATTTAAAAATCCCTTATTCTGTGTGTGTGTTTCTCATCCAACAATTTTGTCGAGGACCTCTCAGTCTTAAAGTAATCACGGTCTTTTCTCTTAGACTATTTTGCAAAGCATTTAAATAAAAGACCCAGTGATGTTGTTTCTGTGTCTGTTAAAGCATAGGCACATGGGCCCAGGAAGAGAGATGGAGAGACTCGTGTGCACCTGGCGAGAGACTGCAGAGGAGCAATCCCAGGCCATGGCCCACCCTAACTCGTTTTCTTTCTGAAAGGACAGCGGGAGTCCTGGCAAAGTACTCTGAGTGGCCGTGTTCCAACAATTGCTTTGGCAGGATCCAGTGCTGGAGGCCTGTCAAGATTCCAGAGCGTGGCTGGGTGTGCCGGCTCACGCCTATAATCCAGGTACTCTGGTGGTTGTGCTGGGGAAAGATTGAGGTTTGGGGCCAGCCAAGGCAAGAAGTTGACAAAGGCCCTCAACTCAACAAATAGGCCGGGAATGATGACATACATCTGTGGTCCCAACTACATGGAGGCAGAGGTGGGTGTTCCTAGGCTTGCCCCAGGCAAAACCAGACCCTACCTGAAAAACAGCTAAAGCGGAAAAGGGCTGGAGGCTCAGCTAAGGTGGCTCGGCTCAGGTGGTAGCGCTTGGCACAAGGCCCTACCTTCAAACACTCGCAGCACCAGAATAGAAGAGGAGGAGGAAGAGAAGAAGGAGAAAGAAAAGGAGGAAAAGAGGAAGAGGAGAAGGAGGAAGGAAAGGAGGAAGAGGATGTGAAGGAGGAACAGCAGGAAAAGGAGGAGGAGGAGAAAGAGGAGGAGGAAGGAAGAGGAGGAGGAAAAGGAGGAGGAAGAAAAAGAGGAGAAAGAGGAGGAGGAGGAGGAGAGGAGGAGGAGGAGGAGAAGAAGAAGGGAAAAAGAGGAGGAGGAGAAAGAGGAGGAGGAGGAGGAGAGGAGGAAAAGAAGAAGAGGAGGAGAAGAAGAGGAGGAGGAGAAGAGGAGGAGGAGGAGGAGAGGAGGAGGAGGAGGAGAAGAAGAAGGGAAAAAGAGGAGGAGGGGAAGGAGGAGGAGGAAGAGAAGAGGAGGAAAAGAAGAAGAGGAGGAGAAGAGGAGAAGGAGGAGGAGAAGGGAAAAGGAGGAGGAGGGGAAGGAGGAGGAGGAGGAGGAGGAAAAGGAAGAGGAGGAAAAAGAGGAGAAAGAGGAGGAGGAAGGAGGAGGAGGAGGAAAAGAAGAAGAGGAGGAGGAGAAGAGGAGGAGGAGAAGAGGAGGAGGAGGAGGAGAAGAAGAAGGGAAAAAGAGGAGGAGGGGAAGGAGGAGGAGGAAGAGAAGAGGAGGAAAAGAAGAGGAGGAGGAGAAGAGGAGGAGGAGAAGAAGAGGAGGAGGAGGAGGAGAGGAGGAAGAGGATGTGAAGGAGGAACAGCAGGAAAAAGAGGAGGAGAAAGAGGAGGAGGAAGAAGGAAGAGGAGGAAAAAGAGGAGAAAGAGGAGGAGGAGGAGGAGGAGAGGAGGAAAAGAAGAAGAGGAGGAGAAGAAGAGGAGGAGGAGAAGAAGAGGAGGAGGAGGAGGAGAAGGGAAAAGGAGGAGGAGGGGAAGGAGGAAAAGAAGAAGAGGAGGAGAAGAAGAGGAGGAGGAGAAGAAGAGGAGGAGGAGAAGAAGAGGAGGAGGAGGAGGAGAGGAGGAAGAGGATGTGAAGGAGGAACAGCAGGAAAAAGAGGAGGAGAAAGAGGAGGAGGAAGAAGGAAGAGGAGGAAAAAGAGGAGAAAGAGGAGGAGGAGGAGGAGGAGGAGGAGAGGAGGAAAAGAAGAAGAGGAGGAGAAGAAGAGGAGGAGGAGAAGAAGAGGAGGAGGAGGAGGAGAAGGGAAAAGGAGGAGGAGGGGAAGGAGGAAAAGAAGAAGAGGAGGAGAAGAAGAGGAGGAGAAGAAGAGGAGGAGGAGGAGGAGAAGGGAAAAGGAGGAGGAGGGGAAGGAGGAAAACGAAGAGGAGAAAGAGAGCAGGAGGAGGCGGAGAGGAGAGAAGGGAAAGGAGGAGGGAGGAGGAGGAGGAGAAGGAGAAAGCTGAAGGAAAGAGGAGGAGAAGAGGAGGAGGAAGAGAGAGGAAGAGCCGAGGAAAGAAGATGAGAGGAGAAGAAGAGGAGGAGGAGAAGAAGAAGAGGAGGAGGAGGAGAGGAGGAGGAGGACGAGAAGAAGAAGGGAAAAAGAGGAGGAGGGGAAGGAGGAGGAGGAGGAAAAGGAAGAGGAAGAGGAGTTTCTTATAGGAGATCACTTGGTGGCATGCAGTGCATTCGCCACAATTCCCAGACAGAGAGGCCCTGGCAAGGAACCCCATGCAGTATGCCCATGGCCACGCAGTATGCCCACAGCTACGGCGCTGCTTTGGTCAGCACAGGGCCCTCTGGCTGTGGCCGCCATTGCTCTGCCCACACGGGGGCCCAAGGCCGTGACAGGTTGGGGTCTTGAAGTGTTTTGGGTGCGTGGCCCATCACAATTCTCACTTGGTATCTGGGGGGCTTCTGCAAGCTAGATGCACGGTTACCTGGTTTCTTAATGCTTGTGTGAACTCCGGTCTTAGACACACACACACACACACACACACACACACACACGCACACACACACGTGCTAATTTAGATCAGAAAGGACACATGTGCCTTTAAGGGGCAGATGGGCAGATCTGCGCTCCAGACGCCTCCTGATGGCTTTGAACTTGAGCTTCGCCTGCCTGCTCGGTGGCTTGGCAGATCTCAGAGCGAGTTTGGGGTTCAGATCTGCATGAATCCACTCAAATCCAATTCTAAGACAAGCGCACATTAAAGCAGACACTGGCGCAGGTCCATTGCGCCTGGAGGGGGGGACCAAGGGCATCCCAGGCAATTACCCATTGTGACCACATTGTGGCACCTTGTCCAAGGCTGCTTGGTTTTTTTTGCCTGAGTTCCAGGCATTTCAGCTAATGTACAGTTAGGGAAGAACAAAAGACTACACAGTATCCTTAAGTAATGCAACCTTTGAACCAGAGGAAACTCTTTCTGCTTTCTTTCCAAATTCTGAATCAGCTTAAGTTAAGGACCATCCCAAGGCCCCAAGGCTCTCTCTCCTGTGGGTTAAGCCCTTCAGAAGACAACATAGCAAAAGGAAAGGCAGAGGAAGTCAGGGTGGAGGTGAATGGACAAGCAGGCCCCCCCCCCCCCCAGCCACCCGACTTCACACGAGGGTGTAATCTAGCAGATAGAGGGCTCTCACAGAGTCTGAACTCAGTAAATTTCTACCCAGGAAACACAGCCTTTGTCTTCTGTCTATCCTGAGACTTTACAGCAAATTGTGATTGAAGAATTTTAAAGAGTCTGTCTTGGCTTTGACGAATTGATTGATGGATCTATCTGTCAATGTATTTATTTAGTGCTGGTGCTGGGGCTTGAACTCAGGGCCTCATGTTCTCATTCAGTTTTTCTTGCTCATGGATGGTGTTCTACCACTTGAGTTACACCTCCACTTCCAGCATTTTGCTGGTAAATTAAAGATAAGAGTCTTACAGATTTGTTACCTCCGCCCCTGCCCCCAACCAGGGTGGGGGTGGCTTTGAAATGTGATCCTCCTATCTCAATCTCCTGAGTAGCTAGGATTACAGGTGTGAGCTGCAAGTACCTAGCCTATGTTGGCTTTTTTTTTTTTTTTTAAGTCTGTAAGCAATGGCAACAACACGAACTACAGCTCCCATACCCTGACTCCACACGAGAGGCTACATTATGATCTAAGTCCTCAGAGCACTGATTTCTCATCTTCAAAATAGGGATAAAAGAGGTTATGGGTGTAGTTCAAGTGGTAGAGCACCTGCTTAGCAGGGTCTCATGTTCAATCCCTCCTATAGCCAGAAAACAAACAACAACAACAAAAAACAGACTAAGTGTAGTCCTAGCTCCTGGACCCAGGGAAGATTTCCTGAATTGTAACCATGAAAAGCAGCTACTGCATGCATCAGATGGAAACACCAGGCAGCGCACATGCCCTCCTAACCAGTTTCTTGAAGAGACCATTGAAGAGACAATGGGAATGTCACATTCTTCTTCTCCTGACTTTCTGTTGACTTTGCAGTGGTAGAGATTCAAACTCAGGGCCCCCTGCATGCTAGGCTACCACGGAGCTACACCATCTTCTTTCTGTCTTCTTCCCAAGTGGTTCCTAACTGGGTATGGGGACACATAGCCCTCATCCTCCAGCACAAGTTCAAGGCCAGCCCAGGTTGCTCAGTGAGATCGGCCTAAGGAAGGGAAGATGATCTTCACTTACCTGAGAGAGCCCATGACACAAGGAATCATGGTAGCACAGGCCAGAGTAAGGCCGGGGCTCCTCACAGCTGCTTCTGGAGATCCGCAGCCCAAAGCCGAATTCAATGCCTACGGAAAAGAAACATGTGCTTAGCATCAGTGGCTTAGGAAGTTTCTACAACTCCAAACCGAACCAGTGAACCCAGAAGTGAGCTGATAGAAGATATTAAAATGAAAACTCACTGTCCGGGTCATGGCTCTCAGAACCTTCCAGCTGGAAAAGGACCATGCATGAACTTGAGCTGACAAGTTTCCAGAACATTCTAGAATGTTCCAGAACATTCAGCCCGTGCCTGACCCACAGAAGAAGGCCAATAAGTTGCTCTCAGTCAGATGACGTCAGACTCCAGGCTGCCGGCAGGGCTGGTACCGGGCAGGCCAGCACTGGAAGTGGTACACAGTGCTGGCTGGACTACAGAAAGTCACTCCACACACATGAATCTTGCTACCCCCAACTCAACCATGTGAGCAGAAGGCTGCCAAGGGCAGGGAGAGGTGGCTGGGCAGGCACAGTGCTTCCTCCTGGGATGGGCAAAAAAACAATTCATAGTGGTGATGGCACCACTGAAATTCAGTGAATTCACTTCCCAGTGAGTGAGTGAAATGTTTGACATTTGTACTCAATAAAACGGCTTAAAAAAAAAATACCACCTAGGGCTCCACACCGGCGGCTCATGCCTGTAATCCCAGCTACTACTCAGAAGGTTGAGATCTGAAGACTGCGGTTCAAAGCCAGCCTGCTCAGGAAAGAACACAAGATTCTTACCTCCAATTAACCACCAAAAGCCAGAGGTAGAGCTGTGGCTCAGGTGGTAGAGCATCAGTCTAGAGCAAAACAAATCCCAGGTACAGCACTCAGGCCCTAAATTCAAGCCCCAGGACCCACCCATGCACATGCGCGCCCTCCCGCCAACACACACAAAATCCCACTATTTTGAATCCCAAACAAGAACACAAGGCCCAGAATGAATTCAAGTCCATTACAGTCACAAAAATAAGCAACAAACAGAAAGGCAGGCCAGCTTCAATGAGCCGGCCCCATTACACCGGGCTTATCTAATTTCTGTTAGAACACATGCACTCTGGGGGGTGGGGAACCTTTTCTTCCCTCCACTGGGAAGCTCAGGGAGACCAGACAAGTCACCTGACCTGGTCCAGTCACTACTGTCACTTGGGGGAAGTTGTAAGACTCATGGAGGGGGGCAGAAAGGGAGCCCCAATGGGTCTAAGGCCCCCAGGATACCACTGTGTCCTGTCCACTGTGTGTGCCACCCAGATCCACCTGAGGGTTCTTCCTGTCCCCTTTACGGTCTAACCACAGCTCCTGAAAGACCCCAGCTGACCCAGCCCATCCTGCTCTTCAAGTTGCAGCCACAGAGGCACAACTTCAGTCCCTGATTTCACCTGTACCCCTTCTTTCTCGCCCTCCTAGCTTCCCCACCCAGATAAACAAAAGCACCCGGGGCCTGGGGACAGGAAGTGACTCAGTGGGAAAGAATGGAGACCTCAGAGTTGAGAAGGAGGTGGCTGTAGTCCCCAAACCCACACCCGTGGGGCGCGGGCATGTTCTCAACGCTCTGCCCTGCCCGTGAAACGGTGGAAGCTACCCTGGCGGTCCCAGGTCCCCACGTTGGGTCCACAGGCTGCCCTAGCCGGCTCTACCAATGTCCCAGCATGGCCTTCTACTTCTGCTGCCATTTATGTAAATCTTTCAATAGGGGGCAGCACTGAGCCCATGGAACATAGCATGCACTTGGTAATCCTGAGGGAAATGGAGGCATCTCAGACCCAGGGAACCTACACCTGCATGCAAGACAAGGCCTGCGGAAAGAGGGCTCATGGAGTAGACAGGAAGGCCTCTGGGGTCTTCACACCAAACAAAACAAGGAACCTCATGTACATGAACAAACTTCGTCCTGCAGAAAGCATGGCAGACACAGAGCTGATGACACAAGGCCCATCTGTGTGTCCCAGCCAATGGGAAGAAGGAGCAAGCCTGAGTGGACACCAAGGGGGAGGGCAGGGAGGTGGCAGGCAGGCCCAGGATAGGATGTGGTCCGTCCCTGCAGCCCAGCTGAGAAAAATCAGGTAGACTGGACCCAGGGCGCTGGCTGCAGGAGGAAGAAAACTGCCTGGAATCATGGCCCAAAAGCAAGGGCGGAAAACGAGGGCTCATCTCATCAGAGACCTTGCTTCAATGAACAGGTTAGCCAGAGCCGGAGGGAAGAACAGAGGAAGGGCTAACCCTTAATAGTCATCAATAGCAGCGTGGAAGATACACGTGGGAGCCAGCCATGAAGGCCTAGGGCTAGACACTCGCTTAAGAAAGGATTGTGTTACCTTCTCTGTAAACAGACACCAGACCTCGTCCATCTACATGTGATCCTAGCGCGGGATGGAAGCTTCTAAAGACAAGGAATTGCTTTACTCACCTTCATAAATGCTCGGGCTTACACATACTGCAGAGACAGGGCTGGGCATACAATATAGAATGGATGGATGGATGGAAGGATGGATGGATGGATGAATGGATAGATGGATGGATGGATGGGAGAATGGATGAAAAGATGGATGGATGGATGGATGGATGGATGGATGGATGGATGGGAGAATGGATGAAAAGATGGATGGATGGATAGATGGGTGCATGCATGTGAGAATGAATGAAAGGACAGATAAATGGATGGATAGGTAGGAGAATGAACGACAGGATGGATGGATGGTTGGAAAAAGAAGGGAGGAGGAATGAACAGACAGACGAATAGAGCACATGAATAAACCGAGCATGAACAGCATGTATTTCTATGGGCTTACGTCTCAGAAGCAAGCGCTGCCTAGTTTCTCTCTAGCCCAGGGAAAGTGCACAGACCATCCGGGAACACGATGAAGAATGGATGGACCTCCGTGAGGGGTCTGACACTCCTGAGTTCCCCTAAGACAGTGACAAACCCCCACGACCCCTTCCAGAAATCCTGCCACATTCCATAGGGCATTCAAGGATGTCAAACTTGGAGCCCAGACCTGGCCGGTATCCAGTAGCTTCTATCTGGGCAGAGGACAGCCTAGGGGAGTCTTCCCTGCCTCACGGTGCTGCTGGTGGGTGGTCCTTGCTCCTACCACCTCAGCAAGCATCCCCTTTCCCCTGTCTCATTCAACCTCAGCCACAGAACTCATTTCACCCCCAGTGAACCCGCATACAGTAGACTGGCTGGTTTGCCTCCAAGCACAGAATCTGAGATAGGGAAGAATACTGGATCAATTCCACTCACTGGTTACCAATAAGCAAACAGCACCGGGGGCTTTGTGACTCATGAATGCTGCGTTCTCCTTTCTCTGCTGGAGATGCATAGAGGCGCTGGGGTCTGCCTTCAACTGTGCTCTCCGATCACTAACTTGGCTGTGATGACATTTGTTTTACAATCGGAAAAAAAAAACCCCAACATTTCCCAGGTAACTAAGGAAAATATTTAAAGGCGGGGGGGGGGGGGGGGAAGGAGAGATATCAAGCAGGTGAGATGTTTGAAACAAATGAGCCATTCATTCCCGCTTCTGTCCAGTTCGCTTTTTCCATTTGGGGAGACGAGGCTGCAGATGGGGGAGTAGGTTTAGGCCCAGGAGGGTGCGCCCACTGACTCCCCTGAGAGAAGAGAGGCCACCATTTCGCCCTGGAGAATGCCCGGTCGTTTGATTGGCAGCGGTGGAGACACCTGCTTTCATTCCTTTACTTCTCTGTGAGTCTCTTAAGCGGAATCCCAACCTAGCAACTGTCGCCGTGTCTGTATGCTTGTTTTCTTCCCTCCCAAGACAACCCTTGCTGTCACCCCAGCACCCAGCACTAGTGCCTGGCAGTGGTGGGTACAAAGGAATGACAGAAAGGTCCCCTCCACTTGGCCTCAGGAAAGGGGCTCATTTTTAAAGCAAAGCTGGGCTGTTTCTAAGATCCCTGAGGCTGGAAAGGGACAGTAACAGTTCATATATGGTCACAGCATGATTTGAACCCAACGCCCACTTGATTAGCAGAGTCACGCCTTGCCTTAGAGCTACATTAAACCACACTGAGCCCCGTGACAGTGGCTCATGCCTGTCATCCTAGCTACTCAGGAGGCTGAGATCTGAGGATCATGGGTCAAAGCCAGCCCGGGCAGAAAAGTCTGTGAGACCCTTATCTCCAATAAACTACTCAGAAAAAGTCACCGGTGTGGCTCAAGTGGTAGAGCACTAGTCTTGAGCATAAAGAGGCTCAAAAACAGAGCCCAGGTCCCAAGTTCAAGCCCCAGGACAGGCCGAAGAAAAAGTTATGGTAATATAAAACAGCCCTCACATCAATGGAAAGAGCTTATAGTTTTCAAGGAAACCAGGAGAGGTTGGGGCCAATGGTCACCCAGAGGCCAAGGAAGAAACCTGCAGATAAAGGGGCTCCTTAGCTTCCACCCTCCACCTCTCCGATGGCCCACAAGCCTCCCTCTTCCTGCTCCCGCCATCTCCCCCAGCCTTGCCCTCCCTGGGACCAAGCCAGGACTAGGAAAACGTCAGCCATAACCCAGGCTCGTGGGCTTGAGCGCTCTGTCATCTCTGGGCTCTGGGGAGAGCCCTGACTGCGTACAGGGCCTTCCCATCTTCTCGAATGTCTGAGATTTCCCTGTCTCCTGAGATATGAGAACATCCCTTCTTATAACGTATAACCATTTCCAAACATCGGAGTCATCCAAGCCTAGCATCAACAAAACTGGAGACCATGGGCCCAGCCCTTAGGGAGGCCAAGAGATCCTACAGCTGGTAGACAGGCGTGGAGGCCCCGGCCACTCCCCATGATAGGAAAAGAGCCCTTCTGGAACCATCCAGTCCATCACTGCCCATTTGCGAACGAAGAACCAGGACACAGAGACAGCCATAGACTGAGAGAGGTCACACAGCAAGTCAGGGGCAAAGCTAGGTCTCAACCATGGTGTCCTGGACTGTAATACACAGGAATGATGCCAAGCCCTGGCCAGGCTAGGCATGAAAACCCTCCAGGGTCAAAGGGGAACAGGGGCTTCTCTCTCTTTCCAGAGAACACACACATGCATCCT